ACCTGAAATGAGCCTTTAGAAAAACCTACTAAAACGAATTTTACAGCTACGCATTTGCCCCGGCTACAACGTGACACAAGAAACAGCTCGAAATAAATAGCGACGTGCATCAGAGCAGCCAGTGCGATCATACGTTCTGTGCAATTCCGTCCATCGAAGAATTGTCTGCTAATGACTTTCACTGCTTTGCACTTTGGCCTGTCCAAAAATAGTTCAAAATTTGCGGAATTTCCCACTAAAAATTTCTCGCGACGGCACGTAAAAGTTGAATTTGAAACCTCGAAGGGTGAATATCCTTCCAAAATCTCAACCTTCTGATTTTCTGTGGTTTTTGCGACAATGCCTTCTCGTGGTGGTACGTAAGACCTCGGCATACTTAGAAACTAAATTCGAATTTGTGGAACTCCTTAAGTACGAAACGTCCTCCTGAAATTTTCAGTCACATAGCTCTTCTCCCAAGATAATGATAACTCCGACCAAAGCTTTCAAAGGGACGATAAAAATTTGCGGAGTCTTACATGGCCAGGGAACACTACGCTCAAATTTCAGCTTTCTAGGTTCCGTGGTTCCCGGGATAATTCACCCGCCAAAAGTTTCACGGGGTTACGTGTTACTCACAGGCAAGGAGAGGCTGAACTTAAATTTGCGAGGTCGTACGCAGGCAGAGGATCATTACCCTAAAACTTCAGTTTCCTGGACTTCGTGGTTGCCGAGGTAACAATTTACCAGACAAAAGTTTCACGGGTCTGTATACGTTACCCGCAGGCATGGGAAGGCTATTTAAACTTTCTGGATCGCACGTGGGCAGAAGACATACCCATATAATTTCATCTTCCTAGTTTACTTGGTTTCCGAGATAATAACTTTCCACATCAAAAATTTTACGAGGCTGTGCATATTACCCGTGGGTACGGGAATGCTGAATTTAAAATTTCTGGGTCGCACTGGGAAGTGGACATACCGATAAAATTTTAGCTTCCTAGCTCCTGTGGTTCCTGAGATAATAATTTTCTCGCCAAAACTTTTACAGTGCCGTATTTGTTAATCGCGAGTACGGGGAGGCTGAATTTAAATTTGCGGGATTATACGTGGATGGGGAACATGCCCACAAAATTTCAGCTGACTAACTTCCTTGGTTATTGAGATAATGATTTTACCCGCCAAACTTTTACGGGGCTGTACATTTTACCCGCAAGTGCGGGAAGATGGATTTAAATTTGCTGGGTCACACGTTGGCGGGGAATACTCACTCTACTAAAATTTCAGCCGCCTAGCTTTTGTGGTTCCGAGTTGAAAGTGCAGGACAGAATATGGGATATACACACACAGACAACTCCGTGACAATATGCGATTTGTACTGTTGTTACACAGTGCAAGACGCATAAAAAATCGACGAGGTAATAAAAACCAAATCTGAAATCATTAACGAGAAAATTCCCAGAAGATGCAAATCGAATCCTATCGGAAGAGAAACAAAGTCTTCCTTTTAGAAGAAAAATTTTCCTCGATTTAGGGATGAATGGCTGCCAAAACTTCCCAGTTCGTAAGGCATCGTAATGTAGGAGTGGCAGAGATCACGAAGCGAAGTGATGAATTAAACGCATTGTGAGCTTAAAATTGCTAAAGTCTCGCCGAATGTTTCTGCTGAAGCAGCGTTGTCAGTAATCTCTTCAGCAGATGACATTGACGAGGGAATCGTCAGAGGAAACTAATTACCAGGAGATGCAGTGCTGGCCAAAGCAACTGCAAAGGCTGTCGGACAATGTTTGGAGAACTAACCAATTACAATCATACACACATACACATACACATACATACATACACACACACGCACACACACACACACACACACACACACACACACACACACACACAGGTTCTCCAAATATCCAAATGATAACAATTATGATTACTGGAAGAAATCTCACGGAAAAAAGTCACTGCTATTATATTGTTTATTCAAAACAGAATCAGTCAAAAACTGTCAAACAAACCAGGCTGATCATCCACTTCTACAACACCGTTTTGATAAGCCCGATCGGCCCTAAAACAAACGGAGCATAGCGAATGGCGTTCAGACACAAAATATAAAACAAACAATCTCAGAAGAGTAAGAAAGTTACCTTTTTATGCGATTGCGACCAGTGGCATTTCTCGTTCTGTTTGCACTCTAAAACAGTGAAATCTTATACAACATGCACAAAATTGTAGAATCTAAAATTCCTTTCAAAAACATACAACTCATATTTCCGAATGCAAACGATACAGCTTTTTATTGCCAAATGAGAAAAGTGCTAACCCTATTGCTGCTTGTCGATGGGAAACTTGATGGACCTGAAACAATTTCTAAGTTCAGATGGGAAATTATATTTCAATCATGAATTTACTTCCAAAATCAACAATTATGATGTATCAGACGCTTTTGAAATCGACTACTACTGCTAAGTGTGTTAACATTTATCACATCAGTGCACAAGGAGTCCACCATAATTCATTAGCCCAGTTAAATTTCAACAGAATGATAAAAGCAAATCTTAGTTGGAAGTGCTACCCATATTAACAAAAACTGGGGAGAATATGCAAAATAAAAATGGGCACGTCAAAGAAATAATGTAACCTGGTTCCTGCCCCATGTATGTGCCATTATTCAAATATCGATAATATCCGTTCGGCAATCGTCCAGATCGTCCAGGACGGCAAGGCGCTACTGCAGATGATGTTGGAACCTCAGAGTCTTCATGACGACTAAAACTGATAACATCATTTTTAAGATGAAAAAATCAAAATCCCTTCCAAATTTCATTCTATTTAACAAAAGATGGCATATGGAAGTGGCTCAAACGATTGCATCTTGCCAACAGTCTACAGGCTGTTTTTTAAACAGAGTGCTACACTGCACGTCCACTGGAATAAATAAATAGCGGCGAGCACCAGGGCAATCGCTGCGATCATGCGTTTTGTGCAATTCCTTTCACCGAAAAATTGCCTACTAAT